TTATTGAATAATACTCAATCTAGATTAATTAATCCGACTAAATCTGAGCTAGGTATAATCTCAAAAAATATAATGAAAAAATAATTGACAAACTACTAATTACAGCCGGTGCCAATCTTTGCAAAGTTTCATCTGATATCATCAAATGATTCAATAATATGCGGTGTAAAAAGAGAGCAACGTTTATTAAGTTCGATATCATTGATTTTTATTCATCTTTTTCCAGAGATCACTTAATTGATTGCATAAATTTTGCTAAAAACCATATGGAGATATCTGATGATAAAATCAATATAATATTTCCTGCAAGGAAATCAACCTCATCACTTAATTATTCCACATGGATTATGTGCAAGAATGACGATTTTGACGTACGAATGGGAACATATGATTCGGCCCAGGTTACTGATTTTGTCTACCTATATATTTTGGATATTCTTAGTAGAACAGTTGAACCTAAACTAATCGGATTATATAGAGACAATGGACTCATTTATGTCCGTAATAGTAATGTAAGCTTTTTTTTTTCATTTTATCTTCAAACCGTTTGTTGATACACCTTGTAAGATTAATCTCTTACGGGAAGAAATGACCATACAAAGGGGTATTGAATTTCATTTATATTTCATTTATATATATATATATATATATATATATACTATGCTATACTATGCTATACTATACTATACACTTCGATAAAACGAATTGAGTTCTCACAGCCATGGCGTGTTTATCTAAAAATAAAAAGCTTAAATTCACCTTCATGTCTGCCGTGTGCGAACGACTTAGGGGTAGATTCTTTGACTGACGCCAATTCAGCCGGGTTTCAATCCTAGCTATAGGAAACCTACCTCATCACACTGATGAGCTGTGATACAGATAAACAGTCTGACTGTGGATTACAATAGATAGATAGATAGATAGATAGATAGATAGATAGATAGATAGATATGATGTTTTCTCCACAAGCAAGGTAATAAAGCTACTAAGACTAAAGAAGTTGCTGAGTGAATATGAGAAAAAAAGCATTATTAGACAGTGTGTAAAATGTAGGAAACCTCGTCAGAAGCATTTATGGAAAAGAAGCAGGTAATCTACGTTACATCGGTGGAATAGTGTCTAAATACGAGTTGTCAGGTCAGGACCAATAACCTTGTAAATTCTTCTTTCTATTTTATCACGAATCTCTAGATAGATAGCAAAAGCAGCAAACCAGATGTGGCAGAAATATACAATGCATGGACGAATAGCAGACTTACAAATATGTAAGATAGAAAAGTTGTATGTGAAGATAAAAATGTGAACCAACTTTCCTACCAGCAGACCTAGCAATCTATTGATTCAATATTATCTTTCCACTCGAGCACAGCAGAAATCGTCAGCCTGAGAAATGTATATATGCTATTTATGGACAGTGATAATATTTTGGAGCGTGCGATGCCGCGACGCTAGAGTTCTTGTTCAAAAATAATATAAATCTCAATAAATAGTATATTTAAAAAGTAAAAAAAAACATATTTCGATCTACACTACATATAGTTTGTCTTGGTGTTTTGCCTAAAAATGGAAACTTTTTGCCTCGTGCCGAACTTTAAGAAAATAGCAAAGTAGATTTGTACCAGATCGACGATAGTATCACTTCCGATTTAGATGTCGGCTTGGCTGTTAAGTCATTGCATGCAAACAATTGATATGAACCAATTATTGTATGGAGACTGTTTTAAAACTAGTATTTACTTTTGTTCAATTTATTTGAGTGTTATTTTTTTCGTGTACGTCATCGCTCTGCTAGGACCAACCCAACACGAAAATACCTGCGACGATTTGATCTTGGCTGCCTTATGATTAAACTTTAATCACAACTTGGGGGTAAGGTTAGCTTCTGATTGAAGCGGTCACGTCAGCGACCAGTCGCGGTGTGGTAGTCTTGGACGACTGACTGGGGTGTGTGTACGCTTAAAATTGTGCCCTGAAGATGACAATTTGAAATTGTTGAACGTACTTGGCTTGTCAGTTCCATCTGACAACTTAAATATAAGTATCGTATTATTCAAGGAATTTATGCGAAGTCAATATCTCATTAATTGTTGTTGTGATTTCGCCATTAATCTCATTAACATTGCTGATTAATTCTTTGCATAAATTACTTTATGATGTGTGTGTGTATTTGAGTTTGTCACTGGACAATCTATTTCATTGCTGTTAATAAATTATGTTTTAAAATTTCGTTTTTCATGCGTCAGCGAGGGTATCAATTATTAGGATAGAACATGTTAGAATCTTTTTTTGGGGTCAAAAACATTGATTTGGAAATTCTTGCAAAAATCAAATCATTGTGAGATTTTAATGAAACTTTCAGAACTTATTTATGAATAAATGTCATTATTTTAGAATTTTTTTAAAGAAAATGTTGATAAAAATATTTTTTCAGTTACCCCCACATAATTAAATTTTATGAAATGTTGAGAAATTAAATTTGTAAAGCATAATGTTTATATTAATTAAAATTAGAACTCCATGGAGAATTTAATCATCACTTCTTTTAAAACCGAACCGCCATTTATCGAAAATTATCTCTGAATCTTAAAATAAAAAATACAATAAAAGTAAGACATTATTTAATTAAAAAACCATTCAATGAATTTTATGAATAATATATATTAAGGAGACTATTGTCTGAAGAAAAACCATGAATAATGAATTCTTTCAAGAATTTAAAAGAAAAATTAATTAGAATAATTAATAAACTTTAAATCTTTTAAAATTCTGTATTAATATTTAATGGTTACCTGATACTGGTATTAAAGAAAACTGTATTTACTATCATAAATGTAAAAACATATTAAAATTTAGTGACCACAAGTATTTTAAAAATAATTATGAATTTTTTTGTATGTGTATAACTGTGCCAGTTTTTGTAGATACGGAGGTACACACATGACATTATCAGAAAAATGAATGTTGTACATGTAACGCCAAAGTATCTCAAATTCAATAAAAAAAATTAGACTCGTGATTAGATTAATTTTAAAGATCACTAAGTACTTAAAAATATATAAAAAAGTTGATTACTTTTTATTCTTCAGTTATTTTTACAAATATATTATTTCACCACAGAAATATATATATATATATATATATATATATATATATATATATATATATATATATATATATATATTATTTTTTTTTTTTTTAAATTGATTATGTTTATACATTCTTTTTATAGATAAAATAATTAAGTTAAATGCTCTTTTTATAATAAACAGTATTAATAACATTTACCGGCTTGAATGTCCGAGAAATTCTCATAGAAAATATTGGACCTACGACAGGAGAATTTCTCGGACATTCAGGCCGGTAAATGTTATTAATACTATTTATTATAAATAGAACATTTACTTAAATATGTGTATCTATAAAAAGAATTTATAGACATAAAAATGTCTTAAAATGATTCTCGAACTTTGTCCATTTTATAATATATATATGATAGAAATATTTAGCAGGATTTGATAATTATAATATGATAGAAATTATTAGCAGGATTTGATAATTATATATAAGTAATTCATCGAGTCTGAAAAAAACCTCAACAGAATGCAGAAAACACTGGGGGCCGTTCCGTCCTATATTTGGAACTCATCAGCAGTGCGCATCCACTACCGAGAATTGAAACCCGGACAGCTAGACTGCCAAGCAGACATCGTACCAACTGTTCCACCGGGCCTCGGAGACGAAGCAGTTGCAAAACACACTCAACATATATATATATATTGAGTCTGATTTGCATCCGATAGCAGGCACACACACACACATATAGTATATATATATAGTATATATATATATATATATATATATATCCGATATAGGAAACATGCCTTGGCCAAAGTATGATAATAAGTAGTACTGTGCATTAATTTCACACGCTGGGCTTCTTATAGATTGGTTGATCTACATTGAAGACTGTCCGGCTTGGCCCCTACGGAATTACGCATCGCCGCGTAGAGAACAGACGTACTTACGGAAAAATAACTCAATCGTAATTTGAATTTGGCTTTCTTATTCTATTTTTTATTATGCATCGCTGTTTACATACGTTAATCAATCAATCAATCAATCAATCCCTGTATCTCTCTATCTGTATATGAACAGAATGATACAAAACTAGATACGTACAGTCTAAGATTTAAATAAATAGTCAACGCATACGGACACAAACTAATATATAGCTAGGTAGCTAGATAGATATGAACAGAGATATATAGATATACAGACATGAACATTTGTGTAGCTAGCTAGATAAATAGACATACAGAACAAATGAACAGAGATAGATGGATATATATTACAGAATAGATGAGCATAGATAGATAGATACAGAACAAATGAAGATAGATAGATAGATAGATAGATAGATAGATAGATAGATAGATAGATATACTGACATGAACAGTTATGTAGCTAGCTAGATAAATAGACATACAGAACAAATGAATATAGATAGATAGATAGATAGATAGATAGACATGAACAGTTACATAGCTAGCTAGATAAATACACATGCAGAACAAATGAACATAGATAGATAGATAGATAGATAGATAGATAGATAGATAGATAGATAGATAGATAGACATGAACAGTTACATAGCTAGCTAGATAAATACACATGCAGAACAAATGAACATAGATAGATAGATAGATAGATAGATAGATAGATAGATAGATAGATATACAGACATGAATAGATACAGAACAAATGAAGATAGATAGATAGATAGATAGATAGATATACAGACATGAACAGTTACATAGCTAGCTAGATGAATAGACATGCGGAACAAATGAACATAGATAGATAGATAGATAGATAATGGAAAGAAAGTGAATAAATAAACAGAAACATGTAGCGAAGAGAATGTTAATGTTACGTGAGAACTGATTGTACGAGCAGTTGAAACATTAAATAATGACAATGTAGTTATGTCAAAATTCATTTTGTCATTTCTCGTCTGAAAACTAATATTTTAATAGCAGCAACGCTCCACGGAAACGTTTATCTTTTAACTTTGTTGCGTCTCGCGAAAAACCTAAGAAATTGAAATGCATTATGGGAATATTAAATATCCTATTAGTCCTGCTCAGGGAATTTCTCGCCACTGCCATTGCCCATACTTTATCTCATATTCAACCTTTCGTGTCAACTTCTTACTCAATCGAACGAATGTAACGGTTTCGAAAGGAAGCATGTGAACACTCGTCATTGCAAAAAGAAATGGTGAAAAAAAGACAGATTTTTATTTGATCTATAAGCATTAATTTAGTTTTAATATATAATGCGCCATAATATTTTTAAAAGTCTCATTTTACTAATGCATGCAAATGTCTTCTGCTTTATGTGTCTTCTCCCTTAAAAACACTGCCTTTCCACAAATTCCTATCTCTTTTATTTCTTAGTAATTTTTATCGTTTTTACCCTCCGACCTTTGCTTTCAATAGGTACTTCGAGTTTCGTATTTTTCTAGCTTTCTGTGCTCATTTTCTCTTCTAGAAATTTCAATTCTGTTTCTGGTTCAAATTTTAAGCGTCATTTTTGTTTTGATTTTCCTTAAAACTATCTCGTTATTCACACGATCAATAGTATTCTCAACATCCTTCTGTAGAATCACGTTTTGTTAACCTGTACGCATATCTCTTGCTTACATTATCACTCCGATCAGAACTAAATTGTCAGACTGTCGCCTCGGTGGAGTCATTTATTAATCAACCGCTGTAATTATGTAACAGAATGACTTGTACTGAGGATTATCTTTGATATTAGTAATGAATGTATTTCGTGCTTGATTTTATCTACTTATATTGAAGTAATTACTGAGTGGTAGATCTTTATCAATATTATTATTATTAGCAGTAGTAATAGTTGAATTGTTATTATTAACATTTCTTATTTTGTTCAGTTTTTATGATTCTTGTTATGGCACTGCTTCAACAAGTTGTACGTTGTCAGACAGAGAGCAATATTCGCAGCATCAAGGAACGAAATCACTTTTTCAATATTTTCACTAGTAGGCCTTTAGGTTCCGTACAAAAGACGATTTTTTGAGGGATGTTAGTATATTTGGGTAAATATCAAACACCATTATATTGAGGTAATGAACACTTTCGATTGTAAATATTTACGGGCTCCAAGAAGGTTTATCCCACAAACAATATTTGAGGACTGAATATGAGTCCAAGTAAAAAATGTGTAACACAAAACAATAAATATAAAACAAAAATCAATTCATGTATTAAAAAGATTACTTGTGACGAATGGAAAAAACCTAAAGCTATCTATAATAAGAATGTGTTTGTTCGTGTGTGTGTTTGTGTCTGAGAGAGAGAGTGAGAGAGAGAGAGAGAGAGAGAGAGTTTGTGTGTGTGTGTGTGTGTGTGTGTGTGTGTGTGTGTGTGTGTGTGTGTGTGTGTGTGTGTGTGTTTCTGTGACCGGTCGCGCACGCGCGTAACAGGCATATGTGAGGGAGTACAAATGTCATGACAGAACACTATGAAAACCAAATTACCCCAGTGGGGACACTTTTTACCCACGTGCGACCACATCTGAACCTCAGAGCTAAAATTCTGTAAAAGAGACTAGGGAGAGAATTGCACGCCTTTTTATAGGCTTAAGGATAAGACGGATAACCCACACCACCCAATCATAACTGGGACGCTACGGGCATAAATGTCCTACATTTTGTCAACTTCAGTACGGAGGTCGTTGTATTTCTTAAGCTTCTTAATTGATTTGGCCTTAATATGATGGTCACCAGGAACAACCGCGTCAATGAAGAAAGATTTTCTTTCTTTTTTTTGTGATGCCTGGAGGCCGCAAGAATATGGACTCTTTGGATGTTTAAATCCTACAAGCCCTTGAACATGGTTGTTTTCCATCACCTTCTCTGGTTAGTGACGGTACTGTTTCTCCTCGATATCATATCCATACTTCCGACATGGGTATCAATGCAGATGAGTCGTTACATTGTCATGATGATGTTTGTATTATTGAGTTAGAATGTATTGCACCCTTAAAAAATGGCGAAAGTTTTCAAATATACAAAACCCAATATACACATCTTTAGATACATTTTGATAAATATATGCCAGGAATATTTTTCATCGTCGAATGTACGCGATATGGTAACAAGTTTTTGTAAAGACAGGCTCATAGTCTTAGAGCTAACTTCCAGTAAGAATTACCATAAGGTTGGCTAAACCAGTCGGCTCAGACGGCCTCTAATTTAATGTGTTCCAAGGATTTAGAGAGGACTATGACGTTTCGGTGTGTTTCAGTGTGTCACCCTTCATAATTAAGAAAACAACCATTTTAAACACCCGGCAATTATGTTCCCACCCGATTCCTGTTCATGGAGAAAAAGGGAGTGAGCAAGCAACTGGAAAAGATGTCCACTTTGTTATGATCAGGAACCTGATAATTCAGTCTGTGTAACTGAGGAAGGAATTTACTGTCGCTCATTATTATTATTATTATTATTATTATTATTATTATTGAGTAAATGTGAAACTGGAGTAAAAAATATACGAAGCGCAAAATACTATTTTAGAATCTAGTATGATAAATGTATCACAGCACATTCTGTTGGTGCCAAGATAAAGGAACCATATATTGGAAGATCAATAGTCTCCACTGTATGTCTACAGAAACGGCACATTTGACCAATTTAATTCCTGTCTGGTAATATCTCATTAGTAGACTTTGATCTTGATATGCCGGAGTAAACCGTTTTGTTTCTGCTTGCAGCCCAAAGCTTCCAAACCACACACGTGTTGATATCAGTGTCTTGTGCCGTTAATGCGAATCAGCCACTTTTTGTTGTTTTCAGCTTGGTTAAGTCTTGAATGTTCGCTTTTACTTTGATTATTGTGTCTTCTTTGTTGATAACTTCCTTTCTATTTTATCTTATTAGATTATTTTCAGCAGTTGGGAATTCTAGCTTTTATTATTAAATACAGATTTCTAGTTGATTCTCGCTGGTAAAACAGATTTAGCAATTGAGTCATTTATTAGTTAGTGATGACTTTCAAAACATATGGTTGAAAACTTATATGTAAATTCTACTTAGTGTACTCTTCTTCATCCATCTGTCCTAGATGATCTCTGCTGTGGGATAATGCATTATTTATTTGATTCTTTTCTTTTTATCTATTCCTATACCTCTTCATGATTCAGGTTGAGTGACTTGGTTTATTTTCTTTTACGACATATCAAACTCAATGGGTTATTGAATGCCGAAAAGTTTATTAGGATAAGTTCGTATGAATAGAATATGTATTTTCGTAAAAAAATCAGTTTATAGATGAGTTTTCATTGAGGTAATTTCTGTAAAGAGGGTTTTGTCGAATGTCAAATGCAGTTCTGGGACATTTTTTTTTCTTTTCAAAAATGTATTACTGGTAATTATTTTGTCCCAAATGTATTACTGGAACTTTTACTATAAAAAGTTATTTATATCCTTTCATAGTGTTCTGACCCCATTTTACTTTTCACAATTTGCCCATTGCATGAACCCTTACGGGTGCTACACCCACGGGTCAGGGTGGATCTGAGAGTAACATCAATTCGGAGGTGGTTCAACCCTTCTCAAAACTTCACTTGCTGCCGGATGTAGTACCCAGAAGTGATTCTAGTTGATCTCATTAAAATAATTTGTAAAAATAGCTATTGCTAAATTGTTAATAACTTGTTGCTTTTTTAGCTTAGGTTTTAATGTTGTAACTTAAATGCAGGTTTTACGTAACAGACCTCGGCTTCGAAAGAATAATCAGCGAGCCCAATTCAAATTTCAGGCTTGTTTAATGCGTTCAATTTCGCACAAAATATTTTGTAAAAGGTATTCCACCCAATCTCGGGCGACAACCATTCCAATAAAAGTAAAAAGCCGAATTCCGACATGTGGAAAAGCCAACAGGGAATCAATTCACTACATTTGATAAGAATTTGAAGATAAAAAAGAAAGAGGAGCTTTGGAAAATCAGGATAGAAGGATTCATTAGTTCTGTTTTTAAATTGCATCTGTTATTCCCAAACGGTCATCCACCCAGCTACTGATCAGGCTCGACGTTGCTTAATATCGGTGAGAACTAGTCTTGAGGGAATATCGCATGAAATGGAATACTAAAATGTCTTAAACTTTCTTTTCAAGTTTTTTTTTTCCTTTCACTGCAGAATGCTGTATCCTTTGCAATCTATAGCTTCCAAGATATTTCTAAACTGCTTTCTGGCACATTTCATGAATCACAGTTTCATTACCAATGTCTTATAAACGTTGTCCCTAACAGTTAACCTGGAGAAAACGTTGCCCTAGCGCATTTGTCAAGGCGATCGTTAATGACTTTTAGATTAGAATTTATCCAATACAATACTTGAAATCCATTCAAGGTAGAGGTTTACTTAAGAAGGTGTGTGATATGAAGCAAAGTGGCGGTAGCTATCGAAGATTATATCGCTTAAAAGTAAAAACTTTCTTTCTAGACGTGAAGAAGTCAAAGTTGAAGTGTTTAGGAATGCAGGTCTACGAAGTTTCAATACTTGGGAAAAGCAGTGTATAGACATATACATACATTTGGAAAATGTTGTGTACAGACTTAGTGTACTTTTTTCTAATCCGTTTAGGATTTAAGGGATGTACTCAAGGTGAAACAATATAAGAAAATGAAAAACATTATTAAGAGGATAGGACAACAAAAGAACATGAATTAGGAAGACAAAAGATAACGACTAACAACGCATTTAAATTTTAGAAGATTAAACTTGACTGGAAAGCAAGAAGCTGGAAGAGATTCCCACAAGTGAGCCTTCCATGAAAACCAACTTTTAGCATAAAAATTACGATTACATGTTTCCTTTGTTGCAGTTTTTTGTATATATTATCTACTAGTGAGCCAGTCCAAATGACTTGACTCACTTTATAGTCCACCAATGGAAGGTTAACCAATC